TCCCCCGCCAAGACTGCCTACCAGGCAGAGGAGATGAGTCTAGCAAGGGACGAGTGGGAGTAGGGTAGCCAGATGCAGCTTGGGAAACTCCTGGAGGTTTGGGGATGGAGCCTGGAGAGGACAGGGACCCCAACGGGGTACAGTTACATAGAGTCCATGTTCCAAAGCATCCATTTCCCCCCCAGAGGAATTGATCTCTGTAGTTTGGAGGTGAGCTCTAATCAATGTTCCCTCTAAGCTGTGGAGTCTGGTGAGCAAAAAGTCTACTTTGTGAGCTCCTGGCATTGAAGTTGTGAGCCAGCGATTTGGCTGCTGCATCAATTAGCTTGCTCTGGAGCCCTCCTTCCTGAGCAAAGACAAAAATGTGTGAGCCGGAGGCTAAAAAACTGTGAGCTAGCTCACACTAACTCAGCTTAGAGGGAACACTGGCTCTAATCCCAGGGGATCCCCAGGTCCCACCTGGAGGCTGGCATCTCTAACTCTGGCTCAACAGGATGGGTAGCCTGTTAAGTCTGTAGCAGTAGAAAAGAGCAAGAGTCTAGTAGCACCTTAAAGACGTACAAAATTTGGGGCAGGATATCAGCTTTTGTGAGGCACTGCTCACTGAAGAAGTATCTGAAGAAGTGAGCCGTGGTGCTCCCTCGAAGCTGTGGAGTCTCCTGAGCAAAAATTCTCCTTTGTGAGCTCCTGGCATTAAAGTGGTGAGCCAGCGATTGGGCTGCTGCATCACCTGGAGGCTGGCATCTCTAACTCTGGCTCAACAGGATGGGTAGCCTGTTAAGTCTGTAGCAGTAGAAAAGAGCAAGAGTCTAGTAGCACCTTAAAGACGTACAAAATTTGGGGCAGGATATCAGCTTTTGTGAGTCACTGCTCACTGAAGAAGTATCTGAAGAAGTGAGCCGTGGTGCTCCCTCGAAGCTGTGGAGTCTCCTGAGCAAAAATTCTCCTTTGTGAGCTCCTGGCATTAAAGTTGTGAGCCAGCGATTTGGCTGCTGCATAGTTTGCTCTGGAGCCCTCCTTCCTGAGCTGAGTCAAAAACCTGTGAGCCGGAGGCTAAAAAACTGTGAGCCAGCTTAGAGGGAACACTGCCAGTGACTCACGAAACCTCCTGCCCCAACCCCATTTTTTTTTAGTCTTTAAGGTACTACTGGACTCTTGCTCTTTTCTCTGGCTCAACAGAGGCTTCACACAGGTCCACCGGAGACACGAGTTCAGATCTCCACTCCTGTGTCCGTGAAGCCCGCTGGGTGCCCTTGGGCCAGTCTCTCTCACACGCCCACGGAGCCCCTCACCTACCTCGCAGGGCTGTTGTGGGCACGGAGGAGGGTGAGCCGCGCGCGCCGCCCTGAGCCTCCTTGCCCAAGAAGGGCAGGATCCAAAAGGAAACCCCGCGAAGAGCCGCGCGCACCTACTCGGGAGTAAGCCCCACTGAACCGGAGGGGGGGGGGTCTCTCTGTGCGTGTGGCGAGGGTTGCCAACTCCGTGGGGCGCACCTGGCATGCCTGCCTCTGGCTCTCTCCGGGGGGAGGGCCGGGAGGACGCCTTCCCCTTCAGCCCGGCCATGAGGTGCCAGCCAAGGGCAGGGCAAGGGCGAGAGGGAACCGAAGCGGGCCCGGCCGCAGCACTCACCGGCGGCTGCAGGCCGCGCCATGACGAGACGCTCCTCGGCGCCCCCCTCGTCCTTCTCCCCCG